CAGTAATGATGATGATGATGATGATAAAGACAACAGTGATATGGATGATGATGCAGACAATGATGACAATGGTGATGATGACAACAATGGTAATGGTGATGATGACAATGATGATGATTATTAAATGCTGTGGACAACAACAATGATGATGATGGTGCTGGTTATGTTTACAGTAGAAATAAGATCAATGTTGTAAGATACTGATTTGTAAGTGTTAATAAAAGGTGTTGTATAAAGCTATTTTAATAAGCTGTATTTGTTGATGGCATCCAGATGCAGCTTTTAACATTTTTGCTGCCAAAACATTTGCATATTTTTTAATGGTCCCCCCTTTAAGCCACCCCCTATTTGCACCAGTCCCCCCCCCCCCCTAAAACATAACCAGACCCCAATGGCCAGGGGGTTCAGGAAGTACCCACAACCCAGCCCTTTTTTAACCAATTTCATAATGAAATTGTTGCTTTAATTAAACTAGAAAAACATAAACAATTATTTTTCTTGAATTTGTTTAAGAATTGTGTGTTAATTTTTTTTTTTTGGTAATATTTAGGTTCCCCCCCCGATAAATCATGACCAGTCCCTAATGGCCAGGGGTTTCAGTAAGTACCGACAACCGAGCCTTTTTTGACATAATATCATAATGAATTTGGTGCTTAAATTAACATGACAAAACATTAGCATTTGCTTTCATGAACTTCGTTGAAACATTTTGGTTTAATTCTGTATTTTGGAGAAAATTGTAGCCATTGTAATGTTCATCTGCGTTTCGCTGTTGAGTACGAGATATTAATTGCTCAGAATTCAATAAAAATTCAGGGTGATCTGCTTGTGGTAGAACTACCACACATGCACATTTTGTAGTCACCTGATCTCTAATACAAGGTAGCTTACAATCTCATTACCTATTTCTTGAATTTGAAGAAATGCAGAACAGTAAAAAACGATGAAGATGCAAATATTGCAATACATCAAAATACATACTTTATGCTATAATAGCAGAAGTTGATCCAAAACTGCTGAAGGATGTTCCAAAAATCATTACACTTCAGAGCAAGGTTTATTTTTCAAGTACTTCAAAACAATTCAAAGTTTAATTCCGTACTTGCAAGTTCCAGATTTCTGCTCTAACAGCTTTTCTGAAATTTATTTGGCATACGTACTGTATCAACAAAACCGATATCAGAAAATGTTTCACTAGACATGAATTTCTCAAAAAAAGAGGGGTCAATCGAATTAAATCATACTACTGCTGAATGATGGCTGTAGGGCTTCTCAATTAATGTTTTTTTAGTCCCTACATTTCAACCGAAAAAGTTAGGTTTTGACCCTATCCAGACTAGGGGGGGGGGGAGCTTTTGAGGTACCCCTCACTGAAAGATTGAACAACTTCAAAACCATTCTAGCTTAGCTATATATATGGCCATCAAACTTGACTTGGCAGACTAACCCCAAAAACTTATCTGGGAACATTTTACAGTCCTTGTGATATGTACATCAACACTGATGTTACCATGGCAACAAATTTTGACAGCCATATTTTTCAAAATTTGCATTTTCTTCTGAAGAATAAGTTTTATTTCTTTTTTTAGTAATTGGATTACTATACTAGTAGTAACCAACAGTTAGGAAGTGAGGGCTTACATGTGGACCTTAAGGTTGTGATTAACGTTAAGAACAACTTTCATAATTGTGTAGGAGAATAAGAAAGCCCTATTTAATAGTTCCACTATCAAGAGAAGGAATCACGGTGGATCATGAACATGCAAAACTGAATTGAACAACACAGTAAACAAGAGGGTTATAATTGAATTCAACTATTTTATTCACAATTGTTTAGATCCAGGTAGCCTTGCGAATAATGAGGAGCGACTGAGGAGAGACAGCTGTATTCGCGAGCAAAGATAATGCGTGACAATGTTCACCGATAAGAACATGAACATGCAAGACTCATAACCGCACAAACTCAAGCCACGAACTCTTTTTTTTACCAGTCAGTGTTCAGTGAGGTTATTGAAATGCAACAGTGACTTATGAAAAAACGTAGTTAAAAGCTAATTGAAGTGTCAGATAAGCTTACCAAGCAATGTAACATGCTTGAAAACATATGAAATATTATACAACTGGGCCGAGTTGTTCAAAGCTGGGTTAAGATAACCCAGGGTTAGTGTGAGATTTGAATTCAAATTTGAAAGCTATAAAAGCATTTCAGTTTTTATTCTTTTTGTCTACAAGTTGATTAGCCTGTGAAAACCTCTGTTTCTCCGCGCTTTTCACCGCTGGGACGTTTCGCATGGATGAACGTCTGCAACTCAGTGACAGAAATTCCATTCTGATGACACAAACCAATGTTTACATAATTAATCTGGTAGTCGAGGGGTTCCAAATATAAATTTGTCGCATTTTATGAGTGTTATGGTCGATTTTGGTAAAGTGTTGTGTTCATCTGCCAATGAGCTCCAGTAAAACTCAAATGCTTCTTCTAGAAAAGACTATATTCCACAAATATTGACTGTTTTGTTATAGATTCTTTGCATTTATAGTTGACCTTTGTCAGGTCTTTTGTCTGTCATGGGTAAACTGCAGTAGCTAAAACAATGTAACTACTCCGTCGACCAATCAGTGCTTCTGACCGGATTCCAGACAGATTTTGTGTCATCAGTATGGTATTTCTGTTGCTGAGTCACAGATATGATGTTCCTCTGCGTGAAACGTCCCCAGCGGCGAAGAGTGTGGAGAAACGGATGTTTTCGCAGGCTACAAGTTGATGATTGAAAGCTCTGAATATAACAGAGAAAATTATACGAGAAAATGCTTTTGAACACAAGAAAGAGAAACCCGGGTTAAATTTAACTCCGGGTTAAGCACTAAAAGACATTCGAACAACAGTACTGGGCCCTGTAGTGTAACCTGAATTCACCTACATGTAACTTACATGGATTTATAGACTGTGCAATCACTTGTATCTTACCAAGGCTTGTCCCACATTCTTATCAGGCTCTGCTTTCATTTGAAACAAACAAACAAACAAACATCATTGGATGTCCTTCAGAAGATTATTGCTCTTTCTCAACTTTCTCCTTGTTTATGTTTCCCAACTTCTCAGCACCTTGGAAAATGCTGATGGTGTAATCATGTATTTATGTACTATTTACGTGAGCATGGACCTTACACTCAACACCAGTGCCTTCGCAGCCAATTTGCAGCCACATATACCACACATATTAGTTGGAAGAACAAAAGCATCTCAAGGATGTGGAAAGATTTTTTGAAACCCCCCTATACACAAAGAAAGTGCCACTGACCACCAAGAATACATTTGCAGGCTTTAAGTTATGATAACTGTTAATGAAATCCAGGCTTAATGGTGACTAACAACTTGTGAATATTTATTTATGACCAAATGGCAGCTATGCCGAGTTTAATTTTCAACAATGCCCATTTCCTGTGGAATTTCTTATTTACCAGATTGTTTTGCTTCCTAATCATCCTTTTATACTCAGATCAAGTTTTCTATTTAGAATACCTTGATTCATACAGGGTTTAAGTAAAATGGAATACATTTGAATATAACAGTACCCTCTTTAGAAATAAATGATGTCATCATGATGTCACTGCTATTGCTGGAGATTATTTATGTGTTAGCCAACTTCTTGATTTTATCATGGATTTTATCAAACACCTTGCTATATCTACTGTGATATAAATTTGGATTCTACCAATAAATTCAACAAGATGACGTCATAATGAAGTCAGATTACATCATTATGCCCAGAAGTTGGAAATGATGTGCACATTTATCGGTTTAATTTTGGTGGCTGTAGCATGAGTGATTTGGAAATTAAAGGGCCTCACCCCTGGTCGCAGGAAGCAAAAAAAAGCTCAGCTGAATAGGGTTAATGCACCCGTAATAACAATAGAGGCGGCTTAAATACCAGTACATACTTTACTTTCTTGAATAATTGACCAAGCCCTCCTAAGCATAAGCTCCCCTAAATAAATGCCCCCCTCCTCGCGCATTTTATCGTTAATCTCTGTATCCAGTCCTTGTGCTTGCAGAGAACGTCTTTAAGCTTCCTGTCTATTATTTTCTTTTATTCCCATATATGCATTTTGTAATTATCCAATTACCTCCTCAGCTATAACACTGTAGGGTCCTATCATACAAGGAAAATGTTCAATTAAAAGGCAATGACTCCCTTTAGTGCCTCATTTATTTGTATGAAATTTTGAACTAGGCCTGAGCTAAAATACGGTGTAAAAATACGGTGTGATTAAAGGCTAACGACAACTTTTTTTTCTAGCCAGCACCTTTGACCTTGAAGAGAATCAGAAAAGATGGGTTGTGGTTGGCATTTCCCTACACAGAGTTCTGTTGCCAGTCCTACGGCAATTTGTGTGTCAAGAGTTACCCAAACACTACACATCTCTGAAGAGTGCCCATGGAATTAATGTTCAGGTGTTTAAAGGACCCCATTTGACTCATGATGGTCCATTTAAACTCAATTATGGAAGCATCAACAATAACTGGGTCGCTTTTAAAAAGACAGAAAAATCATATGATTACAATGTGAACACGGCGGAAGACCTAGCTAAACTTTACCTTGAGCCACATATGGCCAAGTTTACAGGTAATTAACGGGTAGTGTTCTCACCATTTGGATATAACAACTGATTTGGTGGTTTTGCAATGTCAAATATTCGTGATTGTTTGGATTCTATCTCTTACAGCTGTTTCAGATAACACGCGGTGTCAAAAACAGTCTTCAACGCAAAGTAAAGAGATTTTACAAAGCCTTTATAGTAGGCACAGACATATCCTTTCACTTACTGATCAGAAAGATGTCTGTGCGGGCTAACAGTGTTGATGTGTGCAAGTGGGAACTGTACATGTGCACGTTAAGTAAAGTCAAAATTGTAAACATCAGTATTAGATAGTTTCCTACTAAGAGATCACCTTTCTGTTTTTCAACAATCACAGAGAAATCAATCAGATCAATTTCATGTTTTACTTTTCAGGATTTAATAATTCCTGTGATTTGTCTGCTGTGTTGGGCATACTGGCGAATGCTTCCGTTTTTCAAACTCGCGTTCAAACCATTTCGAAGGATGTGCGTTCTGAAGTGCGAAATGAATGGGGTCACTGCAATTTTGACCACTGGACAGATCCAAAGATGACGAAAAGTTTTCAGCTGATAGAAAATTTGCTTTGTGCATTGGGACTTCCTAAGACACTTGAAGCTGAAGTACTTGCTGACCTTGATAGCTGGAAGAAAAATGGTAAGTCATCAACAGACGTAATGATGCTTGTTTTAGTTTTTAAAAACGGTTGCCCCCTTTTTCCAGTGTTGTGTCCAAAGAGGTACTGCAAATGCCAGCGCCGTAGCTAGTATGAGGCCAACCGAGGCACTCGCCTCGGTAAAATTTTGACGAATTTCGCCGATCATTTTTATTTTACATAAGCGATCATCGGATATTTTTAACGCATCATGATATTACAAAGAATTCAGCNTATTTTTTTTTTTTGTTTTTTATTTTTCTTTTTTATATACCAATAAAAAAATACAAAAAAAAGAAGCACCCAACCAACCAAAAAGCTCGATGAGGCCATGTACGGGGAAAAAAATGAGAAATGTGGGGGGGGGGGGGGGGGGGGGGGCATGCCCCCGAACCCCCCTTAGCAACTCCCGCCTGCCTCGGTTGGCCGTTTGGTCTGGCTACGGCACTGAATGCCAGTTTGTCGTGGGATATCCTGACTAAGTGCCTAAGACTATATTTTGCACTCTGGAGGACCTTTACAAAATGGTCCAAAGTAGACAGTGATCACTATAATAGAATAGTGTTCGACCTAGTAAAAGGAAATCACTTGACAGAGCAACAGTAGACCCCCTGTGAAGTGTACGATCGTGGGCTTGATTCCCACTGAGATACACCAGTTTTCAAATATTTGCCTCACATGATTCTCTGATTTCCTGTAATAGGGCCAACCCGCAGTGTAAATTTCATGGGTCGTTTCTAACACTTTGATTTTATTTCAGAGTTTATTATGTGTTCTATCATTTACCCCATAAGTGTAATGCGGCACAATATTTAGATAGTAGCCATCCCTTAGTAATCAATCAGGATCTACCGTACTGCCTATGTTAAAAGGGCTAATTGTGCTGGTAAATGGCATACCCCCGCTGTATTGTCTAACTTATTTCTTTTCCATATTTAGCAATATTTCAGTTGACTAATAAATTGTGTTCTACTCAGACAGACTTAGGTATAACCTCCTAACCAAAACAAGCGTTGTCTCTGAGAACATTTAGCTTTGATGCATTTCTTTAATTAGTTCCTCCTTTTGTAGGACTGAAGTTGTGTATGGGCCATCCTGTTGATGAGGATTTAATAAAAATCGTCAGTGATCAAGTTGCTAACCTTGAACATGAGTTAGAAGTGATGAGGAAGTCTGGTATTGATGAGGCTCAGAAGATACGTGACGCATTGCATAGTGTCAAACTTGAGATTGCGAAATTCTATAACCGCTTGACAAATCTTGAGAAAAATATGGCGCACGTTGAATTACGTCAAGACGCCCTAGAAAGGAAACAAGGTGAGACGGACTCTAAAGTAAGAGCGCTGGTATCATCTTTGGAAGGGAACTTAAACGCTTCAAGCAATGATATCGCGTTTCTGATCCCCAGTCGTAATGATTACTTTTACGGTCGTGAAGATGAGCTGAGCTCCATTGCCGATAATCTAAAAGGGAGAACCAGTAGGTTTGCTCATACAGCCATATGCGGTCTTGGTGGAGTGGGCAAAACGTCACTTGCTCTTGAATTTTGTTGGAGACACAAGAGTAAATACCCAGGTGGCATTTTCTGGATTTCAGGTGAAAACAACAGGGTCTTTCAAAACTCAGTCAGAGAAATGGCGCTTGAAATACAGATTACAACATTTGAAGATGACTTTTCATTGACCTTAGCAAGAGCCCTTGCCTGGCTAAAGAAGCAAAGCCAGCTGTGGTGCTTGGTCGTTGATAACCTCGACGAGCTTGAAATGTCTGGAGACATGCGCAAGCTGATCAGAGGTAAATGGAAACAAGGAGCACGTGGTCATCTCATTCTTACTACCCGGAGAGAGCCCAGAGAAATCTGGAAAGAGGCTGGAATCGAGGAGAGTTCATGCATTGAGTTAAAATGTCTCGGACAAGAAGAGAGCGTCACATTTTTGCGCAGACAAACCGGCAAAATAGATGGGGAAGACAAAGATATCTGTGAACTAGCAATCGAGCTTGGCGGTCTTCCCCTGGCCCTTAATCAAGCCGCGGCGTACATAAAGTACCTTTCCTGCTCCATGCGAGAATATGTTGAACAGTACAAATTTCACAAAATAGAACTTCTAAAAAAGATGGAGATTCAGGAATCCGATGAGTGCACATCTCGTGACCGCCTGGCGGTTCACACCACTTGGTTGATGAATTTTGAGCACATCACGAACAGCAGTCGTTATCCTAAAGACCTACGTGTTGCTGCAACGTTAGTTATGGAGATATCATCTTTCCTTGGTCCTGATGATATTCCTTTGGAAGTGATCAATGAAGGACTTCCACAGCTAGACTTCCCCTGCCTTGTTAATGTTCTGAGTAGTCCGTTTGGACGAAAAGAGGTCATGTCTTTACTGACAAACTTGTCTCTTTTCCAGCAATTCGGATCGAACTCGTATTGTGTCCATCGTTTAGTTCAAGAAGTGGTACGTGGTTGGATGGACGAAAAACGAGAGGATGATGCTTTTAGCAAGGAATTTTTCTCCAAGGAATTTTCGTACATTGCTGGGACACGTTTAATGCACTTTGCATTTGTGAACACTTGTTCACCGGTCGAAGCATGTGAAGGCTTTGCAGAAGATGCGGCAGTATATAGTGTTGAAAATCCTCCTTCATTATATCTTTGGGGAAAGTTGGCGTCCCATGCCACATATTTGCAAGAGCATCTGCTTAGCTTCGCAACAAAAAACGAAGAGTCTCTCTCAGTTCTGCTGTATACAGAAGAAACATTGTGCCTTTTAAATGAAGTAGCAATATCTTATAGTGTAGCACGCGAGCAAGTCAAAGCCCAAGAAATTCAGAAGCAAAAACTTGAATTCCTCACTCACTTCGAACAACCACCATCACATGAAACCTTAAAAAGGATTCTTCATTTTAACATGCCGCTGAGAGACAGCTACCACAAACTGATATCTCACTGTATGAAGGAGCGGCCTCTTAGTAATCGCGATGATATTGTGGAAGCTGAAGATAAAGCAAGTGGCCTAAGACAAAAAGGAAACGAAGCTGTAAAATGCGAAGAATACGAGAAGGCGTTAGATCTGTATTCTAAAGGTATCGAACTGTACACAAACGACTACCGTCTCTTTTGTAATAGAGCGCTCTGCTATTTGAAACTTAACAAACCACAAAACGCCTTAAGCGACTGTGAACAGTGCCTTACGCTCCATCCCTTCTACTGCAAAGCCCTTCATCGTAAGGCGTGGGCTCTCGATAAACTTGTCAAACGAGGGTTTGACCATCTACAGGGATCTGCCGTGGCTACTGCTGCGTTGGCTCATTATTTTGATTCCAATGCCGGTAACAAAGAGGTCATCCAAAAGATGTTTCCAGGTCTTCTCTATGACGTTATTGGAAATTCCACTGAATTGGATTTTGTTTTGCGAATGCCACAAGCTAACAAAACGTATCTGTTACTCGAGGGGGAGTACACTGTCAGCTTCTTAACGGTTGAAAATGATCTCCAGGTTGTGGGCTTAGGCTCAGGAGCTGTCTTAAATTGTAGAGGCGGATTTGCGATTGGAAATTCCAAGTGCTACCTTGAAAATGTAACGCTTCCAGGAGGAAGTCCCCCTTTGGTTTGCCACGGACAAACCGCCCTGGTCCAAGTAAACCATTGCCATATCTCAGCGGGCTTTGCAGGTTGCCAAGACTATCCAGAGTGTAACGGAGGTGTGGGATGTGTTGCCGAGCCTCCTTGCAAGCAAACCAACGAATCTAGCGGAAAACCAAAATCGTCTGGCATCGCAGGATGGAGCGGCATTCAAATACATCAAGGCGGCAAGGGATATATTGACCATTGTCAAATTCATCATTGCGGTAGTGAGGGTGCTGTAGTCGAAGGTGAAGGGTCTTACCTAGTTATCAGGAATTGTGAGCTATATAGAAACCCCAAGGATGGCTTACAGACAAGGAACGGTGGTCAACTGGTTGCATCTGAAAATAAAGTGTACGACAATGGCCGCTGCGGTTTCTCTATTGGGCCAGATGCAGGCCGCTGTTTGATACGCAGTAACGCTATATTTGAAAATCGTAAAGATGGTGTGCATGTGGTTAAAAGCAGGTTGGAAGTATCCGTGGACAGTAATGACATTCATCACAACATGGCCTTTGGTATATTTTCAGACGATTCTCATGTGTCGGCCACTAACAACAAAATATTCGAGAATGTTTTCTGGGGAATTCTTTGTAAATTAAAGTCTTCAGCAAACATAATGGATAATGTAATATTCAGCAATAAGTGTGGGGGTATTTGTGTTGATGCCAGCTTTCCTGGGCAAATTTCTGTAAAGTCAAATGTTGTACGAGACCATGCTGGACCGTGGCTTTTAAACCAAGAATTGGAGAAATTCTTTGGAGCCGGGAGCACGAGTTCTGTATTCAATCCCTTGCTCTACCTTCTCCAAGGAGAACCAAGATATGATTCTATTCCATTTACCGTTGAAGACAATCAAGAATTCAACAATATTGAGGGGTTATTTCATCCTGCAGAAAGCATTGCAGCAGTACCGTCCAAGTGCTGTTGTTGCTCTAAAGAACTACGCGAGGCGAGTCTTAGAAGGTGCCGTGACTGTTTTGTTGCAGTTTACTGCGGAAAAGAGTGCTTGGAAAAGCACTTACCCCGACACAAATCGTTGTGCGAAGTATTATTTAGTCGTTTCTCCACCACTGTTAACTTCCCTTTGCTTCCTCCGTCAATGAGAAAAGTGAATTATGTAACGTTGAGACCGACATATAAAGGCCCTCGACCCAAAGGGAACAGTCGCCAAGCGTTTATCGTTAAAATCCAAACCATGTCTTTGAACAGCGACCCGGAGCAGTTGTTGCCAGTTTACGATCAGAGTCACACTTTGGATTGCCTCATTCAAAGCTCTGAAGTATTCCATGTGGTTATGGAATGTGGTTCTTTGGGAGGTGCTTTTAAATTTACAGCAAAGAAAGCGTTTTTCTGGGCAGCTTTTGCTGCTGGTGGAAAAAAACTAAACATTTTTTTGAATCACTTAGCCCCTTACCAGAACTGGTGAAGAATCAGTCTGACGGGTTCCCTTGTTGTGATTGCAAATGTTGGTACGAATCAGTGCAGTTTGTAGCCTTCGTCGCAGGCGTTGGTTAGTTTAAAAAAAAAAAAAAAAAAGAGCGCGAGAGGCAAACACGCAAAGGGGAGAGGAGGTCTCCTCTCCTTTTCTTTCTTCTCGTGCGCGCATCGTCGTAATTAATCCTCCCTTTGCCCTTTAAAAAACCGGCGTCTGCTACGCAGGCTTTGAAGTTTAATTTGTTGAATTTTGTTGTGAGAGGAACGTTATCCGCGGTGAGGTATGACGACAGGTGGGTCCATTCGTATGCCATTAGCTTTTCAGTCGTCAGATTTTTAGTGGTGTAAAATTTCGAAATGAGCACCATTAATTAGCAGTTATTGAGTGAGACTGAGTAGGATATGAAGAATTATGCAGATTGAGGTGGATAACACCCTCCGAGATCAGCATAATTCCTCATATCTTACTAAAGCCGAACTCAGTAATTGCTTTATTATTCATTCAAAATAATTCCTAGTTTAAAAGCAAGCTAAAACATGCTTACCAGCGTCGATGTAAAGTTCATCTTGATAGTATCGGGAAGTTTAGAAGATAGAAGGCTGTTCAGGTCTGTAAATATACCCCAAATAGCAGATGTCCGTCGAGTTGTCTTCCTACTATTTTTGCTGTTTTTAGACAATAGTTCGCCGTGAAATGAGTAAAATGTTCAGCCGACTGTTCCTCTATTTTGTTTTCACTACCAAAACAACTCAACCTCGTCCCCGGGTCTTCTCGGTTAACGGTTCATCAACCTGCAACTTTGCTGCATGCACTTTTGACGTCATAAGTTCATTACGGCAAAATTCGTCCAGATTTGGTCAACAGTAGCTGGGTATGATGAATTATGCGTGTGATTCTAGCCAATCAGAAACGAAGAAATATTTTGAAGAATGAATACTACGTGCTTTTAACGAACACACTGTATGGCTTGTGTACAGCCGCCCCCTCCCCTCCCCCGATTTTTTTTATAGGAAGGGGTGTCTGTGCACAGGCTGCACACTATACTTCCAAGCAACATTCTGGACCACCTATTCTGACTATTCTCTTGGGGTTCCCGGTGTTTTTCGATGCACGAATCATAACTGAATACCGAAGTTTCTTTCTTGTTACAGGGGAGTTGTAACTGTCTTCAGTAAAGCCTCCTGTAGTCAATACGCTGCAATAGGAGCCTATGGGCTCCTGGCTGTACCAAGTTTACAACAAATTATGATGTATTACTTTTAGCTAAATGAGAAGCATCTTATGGTGTATGCGTTCGCCTCACTTGGCTCATAAAATGCCTGTTATGCGGGCTAGGCGCTGTTTCGCAGACGGACTTAACCAGAGTTTGGTTTCGTCTGTGGCGCATGCTTTTGAGAGCGGACAAAAATAGATAAATAAATAAAGATTTGGGAGACGGAAAAGGGTTGATTTGGAGAACTGTGCGTACCTCCATAAAATTTCTAGCTACACTCCTAGACAGGGCATCGTTTCACTCAGACACATTCTCAGTCAACAGATTAGGCATGTAAAGCAAAACGGCCATTCTCTGACGACTTAAAGGAACTTGAAGTCTGATCCTAGAGGTTTTTTCTTAGCGTTTATTTTTTCTCGAACTAAACCATACAGAGGAAAAGAACGGTGATCATGAGTAGATCAGATCATAGATGCACCCGATTGTCAGGGTTATTTCATTGCTTGACTCTTGAGCTCTGCGATTCTCTGTTCCAGTCGACAAGCCTCATCGTTCCAGCGTCGGTTGCGGGAGTTGGCCTCTTGCAGCTGGCGTTTTAGTCTGGTCAGCTGTGCTTTGTTACGTTTCTGTGAGCGTGAACAGTTTTCATTATTAGACATTTTTCGAAGCATTTGGAATAATTACTGATAGTAGAACTTGAAGTGGAAACTTCCAAAATACGAGTTTTACCGTTGAGAACCGTCAGCCTGTTTGTGTATCGACGCCCTTCACACAGGCTAACCATTATTCTACATGCAGTCTGCCATTCTCTTCCATCGCACAGTGACTCGGCTTTGGGGCTTTGCACGTTCTGTCACCACTGCACCGTTCTAGTGAGTATCTACCCTGAACAAGTTCTTTTATAGATGGTGAGAACTTGCCAGCTTCAAATTTTAAGTTAATTATCGAAGTCCCATGAGTGACCAATATCATGGGCGTCTGTCAATAGAGAAGAGAAGATGGCCTTACAAACTGTTGTAAAATTACGGGATAAGTTGACATATCCAGAGAGAACAAGATGAAAAATGTCCACTTGCCGAGCTTTTATCATGCAAACTGGTTGTTGCCTTTTTGTTGAACGTGTGATGCATAATCGCAAGGAAGGACCACTATACAGTTTGTTTGCTTGTTTTCATGGTTGTGGGTTTGCTTATTAAACTGATGTCTTTTTTTGTATTTCAAGACGAGTTGGAAGCTAATTCTTTTTCGCTTGTCGACTGTAAGCCACGTAAAAGTAAATAAAGTTAGTGGGTAAATGTCTTCTATAAATCCACTTGAAGGAATACCTTTTGGATGACCATTTATTTAGAACATTTTCAGTTGTTTGGTAACAGTGGGAAGGGAGTTTCTGACAGTACAAGCTTAACTTACGTGCAGTGTGTCAGTCTCTCTCCTCAGTTGTGTATGCCTCTCATTTTCGTGTTTGAGCTGGAAATGTAAAAGAAATGTAGGGTTTCAATAAACTTATAAGAGAGCAAACACAAGAACACTGGAGGGGTCTGTCAAAAGCCGTATACTGTGTGTAACAGTGGAGTAAGTTTTGCCTTAGCGGGAGGGAAGAAAACAGTCGCATAAGCCCGGCTTCATAGAAAGGGTGCCAAACAATTTTACCTTAAATCTAACCCCAAAGATGGATATTTTAACCCTTCTGTGTACGAAATTTAGTCTTCAGTCGTCTGTAAACTGTTCAGTATGTGCATGACTATAAAAACTGTTAAGTGCGCAGTTAGTTAGTCATACTTCTAGCCTGCGAAAAAGTTCGCAATGGGCGAGAGCTTTTTGTTGGGTAGTTTTGCCGTTGAGAGCATTAATTATCTACAGTTCAGTTAAAAACATTCAGGCCCCAGTTGTTCAAAAGGTGGATAACGCTATCCACTGGATAATGAAATAGACGAATTTACAGTTTTGCACTTTGGACTCTTGCCTTTGGTGAACTTGAGGCTGAGGCTGACCTTCACGTTTTGATACAAACCTCCTTCCTTTTGAAATGGAAATTATGCTTGAAAAATACTAGTTAGCATAAAAACAACATGATTTACATAATAAAGCAGGAAGAGCTTTTCAAAACGAGGTCAACTCCAGCCTCGTTTCCACCTGTAACTGTAAAATGGGATAGTGGCTTCCTTAGAAGCTATCCGCTGGATAGTGAAGAACTTATCCGTTGGATAGCGCTATCCGACTTTTGAACAATCAGCGCCAGATTTTTCAACACACAAAATTATGTCTTTTTAAAATCTCAGCTTTGGGTTTATTCTTAAAATTTTCTTAAAATTTCGCAAATTTCAGCCTCGATATTCTTATAGAAAACATTCTCAGAAGAAAAGAAAGAGTGTATACCAACCTCAGCTTGTTTTAACACAATTGTTTCCTCCAAACACTTTTGACGGTTTCTAAGCTGAAATATTTCAGCCTGTGTGCTTTTAAGGATGGAATCGTCCGCCAAACGACGTAGGAACTCCACTGTAAAATTGATCAAAAGAGAACGACTTAGTTCACAGAGGCGCTGTACAGCACCACAAGTGATCCTCAAAACGGACCGCAAATGATCCTCGTCAGCAAATTATCCCCTTTGTCGACCGCAGATGATCCCGTGAAAAGTAGACTGATCGGAATGGAATGGAGTTTAGGCATGGATGGTGAATGGCGATAAGAACTTGAACAGCGCGTAAAACAAAGAAATGAATAAAGAGATAAATAACCGTTCTGCTTCTTTTGATAATTGTTTCTCCTTTCTTTTAAGCACTGATGTTTCGTTGCTGTGAAAATTTAAGACAGGAAGGACGTCAACCAGGAAACGCCGAGGAATACGGAAATATGCTGACGCGTGGAATTATCGCCGTTTATTTCGAAATACTAGCACTTCTGTATGCTCGAGGACGCTGTGGGCGCTAGCCCATGTATTAATTTCTTACGCCTTTACTGCTGGAGATAGTTACAAAGATACAAAATCAGAGAATAAATAACGAACGAACGAGTAAGCGTAATTTTTTGTACCTATATCAGAATTCTCTTGAGGGAAGTCACACTAGAGCGATTTTTTATTTAGGATCAGTTTCAGAGACTTTCGCGGTTATAAAAATAATCGTTTTTTTCCTGAGTTGATATTGAGTATCCGATGCATCGGATTCGAGAAATTTCTGCTTAAACATATTTTACCTACTTTAACTACAGCCTGTTTGAGTTTTGTTCAGTTTAGCTTAAATTTTAACTAGTAATTAAGCAAGACACTGCATTGATGTTCGAGCGCTATTTTCTTTTTTTACTGATACTTTTTTAGTTTATTTCCAGTTGTTTTCATTTATTTGTGTTTCACTGCTAAAAAAAAGTTTTAACGCAGTTTTACCGTTAACTTCTTTTTTGCAATTGCAATCGTTTGTACAGCAAAATTTATTCAGGTTAATACTGTTTGTCGTGATAATTAACTTGACGCGATGATTCAGTAACTTAAGTTCAAGCCATTCTGATTTTCCTGTCGGGATCATTTGCGGCCGACAAAGGGGATCATTTCCGGTCGAGGTTCATTTCAGTCGAATTTGGGGATCATTCGCGGTCTGGGGATCATTTTTGTGATGGGAGATCATTTGCGGTACTGTAGTGCTAATAATCACAATATTTATAAGAAAAAGAAAAATTGAATCGCTACCACATCAACGGTTTTGAACAAAGACTGCATGTGAAAGGTCAGGTTTATTTTTTCGTCTTTAATGGTGAAAAATTTACACGTTATCGACATTCCATGCCAATCCTAGCAATGTGCAGGATGATTTTCAGAAACACCTATAATAGACCATAAACTGTCTCTTTCAAACCGAGGCTACGTGCAAAACCTTTCTTCGGCTCGCATTGAAACAGAGGCTTGGGACAACTCGAAAATGGCCCATTAAAAGTGGCTTTATACTGCTTTATATTAGCTCCTTCGAGACTACCGAGAACTCAGTGGTAGGGAATCTCGATAAGCAACTTGAAGGGGAGGACTCGTATTTTTTCCTTCCGAGTTGTCTGCGTCACTGTGTGAAAAACCTCATTTTTCATTAAGTATAAATAAAGTAAGGCGTACACTCCTCTGTCAAATTGGCGTTCGTTTCTCTTTGTTTTGCAATATTCAGATTAATGGGAGCATTCATCTCGTACAGTTCCACTTTCTTTGCATGTTCTGACATTTTTGCACGGTATTCCTTGTGTGTTCTGCAAAAATTAAAAGATGAAAGGTTACAAAAGTACTTCTTTTGCTGCCTTAGGATGAAAAAACATCTTTTTGCGCGAACTTTAATTTCTAGTCTTCTTTTACTGGAAATATTATCAGTATGTTGGAAGAAACCAGCTTGTGTTTATCCTCAATTAAACCTATATTCGTGGTTCAATTTTTCAATTTTATGCTTATACCAAAAACGAAGAAAAAGTTTTCTCTTGCTTACACTCTTTCTCTCTCCTGTTTTTCCTTTGCAATCGTCAGTTGGTGGGCAAGGTTTTCCCCAGAGGAGATAAGTGCGTTCAACCCTGAGAGAATCCGGAAAGCACCCAAAATTATTTATAGGTTGTTCATATATATATAGAGCTAATATAGCACGTAAGGAACTGATGCACAAAAAGTAAGTCAATTCTACAGGCAACGTTTCAAAGTTCAACCAGGTACATATTCAGTTTTATGAAAAATGTTTATGGAATCTCTTAAAATAGAATGCGCTTTTACACTAAATTTGATTAATTTATACCAAACTGTTTTCTACAGTCTCAGTCAAAATGGTTGGGACACTTTGGGGTCTCCTTGTCCCCTCAATGTTGGTGTACAAGATTTGGTGACCAAACCGCGATAAACAACTTTGAGAGGGACGAGGGGAGCACGAGAAGGGAAAAAACAGCGTTTGGTTAAAGTGTCCCAACTATTTTTGTCTGAGACTGTGTCAGGGAGGAATTTGAAGGCGTGTTGACAGATACAGAGGTTAATCTGTAGGTCGGTCACAAGCGACGGGCTTTTGGTTTGTTGGGTATCCATTGTGTTTCGCGAACGTTTCTATAGCAGTGAACTAAGTTATTTGGGCATAACAACATAACACAAAGAATGACCAGTTCGCAGAAATTTCTTGGGCAGAGTAGAGTATTGTAAAATAAAAGGAACTGAGTGTGCACTAAACCGTACACAAATAGCTTTCTAGTGGCCGATTGATAGCGTGACAATATAGCACGTGCATACTATCTACGTAACATTCAGGGTTTTCATATACAGAGAGGCGCTTGAATGTGCCACATTTTTAAAAAAAATGTGTGGAGAATAATAGAGAAGGCCTCTTTGCCAAGAAAGAGTGTAGGAACAAGGCTCAAAGGGACGCATTTCTAACTTAAGGGCAAGAGGCGAAAGACAGCTGAAAGAGCGATTAAGCGATTTCGAGAGAAAGGGGGAAACTTTTCCTCAGTTTGGAGGAAAATGCAACAAGCCAGGATTATTCCCAAGACCTATCAGCGAGAACAGTATCCCGCTTTCTAAATTTCTAAAGATACTATTGACTACAAGCGCGTAAAAAGGGTGTCCAACAATAGTGTAACTGTTTGGTCCGACGCCAAAAAGTTTCTTAATGATATTCCAGGCTACTGCTGTGAAATCGACAACTTTTTATAAGTTGTTTACAACATATGTTAATTTGGCCTTGCGCCAAATGGTGACATCGGTTCTCATTCTTTACCCCAAATATACACCTTCCTGAATAACTCTAAAACAAACTACTGTGCCATAAATGTGGGACTTGAGGTACAAAACATGAATCATATAAAACGAGGACACTACCTATCCTTGAAACCTCCAAAAAAGCGTTCTACTCGACGTGTACACGGGTCACCGTACATTAATTCAATTAAGATATTTATAAGTTTCTTTCAGCGAACAATCGTGTCACCATGATCAAAGTTTTAATAACTTGTCTTACATGTATCAAGGCGATATAAACCTTGGCTATTTCAATTAAGTATGAAAGTACCTTATCCTTTTCTTTCTTAATCCATTATATATACCAGAGAGCTCTTAGAAAACGCCCTGGATAGTATGGTGACCCGTTATGGTGACCCGTCCAATCGTGTCTCCACCAGTACAAGATATTCGCGGCAAGATACACAGCCTGCGAAATAATGCGCGCAGTTTTGACTCATCCGTTGTTCACTCTTTAACCCTAATACGTAGAAAGCTTTTTTAATACCGTGGAATGTTGTAATTAAAGAAACAAAGACTTCTTTCCTCTATTAATTGTCTTCTCTCTTTCTATCCTTGAAATCTTTACTGTTTTTCCCGAAAAAATGGCTCCGAAACGTGCATATACCTGCCTAGCGATTTCCCGTCACTAGAGCCAACGAGGAGTCACATACCGAAAATTCCTCAAAAACACAGTCTCAGTCAAAATGGTTGGGACACTTTAGGGTCTCCTTGTCCCTCAATGTTGGTGTACAAGATTTGGTGACCAAACCGCGATAAACAACTTTGAGAGGGACGAGGGGAGCACGAGAAGGGAAAAAACAGCGTTTGGTTAAAGTGTCCCAACTATTTTTGTCTGAGACTGTAGCTATGCTGTGGGATGAAATGGATAATCAGTGATTTCTTGTGGTACATGCCCAAAGGCTTAATTAATCCATTCGCCCCTGAGCCGCCCGTATCCGTCCTTGCGGATCCACGTCCCTTCTACCGTTTGTGACGTCATCAGTTTTAATGGTCAAGGACAACTTTGTACTAAATGCCCAGCAAAAGAAAAGAAAAATGAGGCAAGAAAAGCGAAAAAAGAGGGGATGCCGGAACTTCGAAAGCTGTTTGCTTATATTTTACAACTGGATCGGAAGGCCGCGAAGTGTACTACCTGAAAACGGCTTTGTGGTAAGTTGTTGCTCTTAACTGCACGACAGTGACCAGAAAACCACTCGACAAGCTTCAAAAGGCGTTTTTCGGCAAAATCTCCAAGGGCGAATGGGTTAAAAGAAAATAAAGTGACAGATGGAATAGTGGTCATATGTAGATATAACCTGCGCTCGCAGGTTAATGTAGATACTGCGCTGATTTTTATACATAAATGTAACAAGCAAAACACTATTAATAATCGGAAATTAGTGATACGGAAGCGTGGGGCTGGGATTAGGAATTCTTGGATGGGAAGGTTCCTGAAACTCTTTGGCTTATAGCACATCAGGTTCTGCTTGAATTGTGCCAAACATATGTTACACTCCACTGGGTTAGCTCTTACGTGGGGTAATTTCTTGTGTCCAAACCTAATTATTGTGGCCTCCCGAAGCAATGATTCAATTTTTCTTTAGAAAAATCAATGCCCCGCCCTTGGGAACATTGATACTTTTTAAATACTTGGGTCTTGTTAGAGTACTAAGAAAACTACAAGCTCAGATATCAAAGTAGCTTTCTTTCAAATCGCTCTGACCAGAACCTGTGTCGAAAGACGAAACTGCTAAACATTTTACAGTGGTTAAAAGTGTGGCGTCACTGATATATGCTGTCTTTTTTTAAAATAGCTCTGTTCAAAATATGTACTGTATTAAATCTAAACCGCTTTTTAATATACGTTGCTTGGCGTACATTTCCTGCATGGAATGCTGTACTGAAACCTCTTGAAAACCTACACCTGTCCACAAATAGACCTTGTCACGGTTTTCGACGCCATCTTGACGAGCAGGCAAACGCGTGAGAAATTACAGTGTTTGTATGAGAATCTAATGTCGAAAAATTTCCGTAGAACGGCTGTTCTGAAAAAAATATCTATTGTAAACTAAAGCTTCACTCCTAAGGATTCTCCTGAAAATATTTGAGGGCGTTACATGCACTAGAAGACCTAGAACCACTTTTTACAATTTTCTATACATTTGTCTGTAAGAAAGTCCCGGGAAAATTACAGACAAATATATGGAAAATCTAAAGAAGCCTCTGGAGAAATTTAAGCCGGGCACACCCCCCAAATTTTTTAGGACAATCCTTTGCTTTGTAGCTTTAGTTTACAATGGATATTTTTTTCAGAACAGCCGTTTTACGGAAATTATTCGACATTAGATTCTCATACAAACACTGTAATTTCTCACGCGTTTGCCTACTCGTCAAGATGNTTACAATGGATATTTTTTTCAGAACAGCCGTTTTACGGAAATTATTCGACATTAGATTCTCATACAAACACTGTAATTTCTCACGCGTTTGCCTACTCGTCAAGATGGCGTCGAAAACCGTGACAAGGTCCATTAAACTGAGGGGCTTCCAGTATTTATACTTTCGATAAACTAACCTTTCTTAAGTGCCTGGCAGTTTTCTTTCTTTCTTGAAACATCATCTTCCGTCAAATAAACATTTCTCGAGACGGCAGCAACCTCAGCTTTAACTGCATTTATCTTTAACTGAACTAATTTGGAAAGAAAGGAGGACGAAGAATTCTGATTTTACTGACTGCTTGGAGAGCTCTTTTAACAGCTAATTGGCCATGTAGTTTTTAAAACTGAACTATTGCTTGCTGAAATATATTTAGAAACAATTTCACCTAAATAATTCACAATGGACGAGTTTTATTAAAGTGCTGAGCGATGCATGCTTACCTTGACTGTTTTTCTCCTACCGGCGATGCGAGCCAGTCATGCATGTATTTAAAATAAAAAAAGAAAACCGAATCGTGAATTTAGAGCTTAAACTCAGCTCAATTTTTGTAATGTCATGAAAAGTTATACAGTCTCGTACACTTTACCTTAAGCCGATCTAGAACTTCTTGCCTTTTGCTCAAGTCGTTGATTTGTTGCTTTTGAGCTACAGCAACTTCACCAGCTAATGCTGGCAAGCTGAGAATTTCCCTTGAACTCAAGCTTAATTCGCCATTTTGTTCGGAAAAATCTTCATCACCTTTGCTCTCTAAAGCTTCACCTTCAACTGGATTCGGCAATAAACAATTCACTATTCGAGTTGGTTTCGGAGGACTGGTCATTTCCATCGTTAACACGTAAAATGAAGTTGATTTTCCAAAATGTTCAGTAAAAGCTTGACGCATACTCCGCTTACAAGTCTCATTTTCGTGAAAAAGTAGCGAAGTTGGAAAACGGACGGTAGCTTCATGCGATTTCCCGCCAAAACAGCTTGCGGTGCGCCTCCATCCTCGATTCCACCAATCACCTGTTTGCGTACTTTTCCAATCTCAGGAAAACTCAGGAACTCATCTCTACAGGTTCAATATTGCAAGAAGTATGGCTCTTATTAAAACTTCAACCACAACGGCCACCTCTCTACAACATCAACGGCCACTATAAAGCTCGTCTCCAACTGCCAAAAAAAACCTCTCGACAACGGTCAGTTTTTCAGCGACCGATGAAAAAGTCAAGAATGGTCATGAAATTTGATCCGTATGGAGCGTTGATGATTAATCGCAACAATTGTATTTTGATTGTGTTCCATTTATAAGGCTGCATGCAGTAAGCATAAATTATCTTCGATACCTATGACGAAAGTTGCGAACCGTGCTCCTTTTGTCACGTAAACATTTTGATTTTAAATTAAGACATTATTCAAGGTTTTTTCTTGGGTATAGCATGCAGTTACAACCGGCAAAAAAATTAGCTAAGACAATTTTCCCTAAAGGGCGTCTTTAACATTTCTCCAACTTAAAAAACAGAAAATAATTCTTTCTCTCCCTCACCCCCTCCATGTAATGTTGTGCCACTGTACGAACTACTGTAGCTGAGAAAAAAAAAACACCCCAACTTTGAATGGAGGGGAGAGGGGAGAGGTATTGGTTTCTTCTCCGAAGTTACCCCAATTTTGTCGCCGATTGTTGTTGCACAGGAGTTCGCACTTTTTTGCTGAAAGTGCACACTTCTCTTCTGCCTTTTAACATTTCTTTGCTGTGTTTATATATTTTGTTTTCTCTTTTTGTCGATCTTTGACATTTAATCCTGGCGTCGACGCCATGTGGGTTGAATTTGTGGTTGGTTCTCTCCTGTGCTCCGAGTACTCCGGTTTCCCCCTCTCCTCAAAAACCAACCTTTTCAAATTCCAATTCGACCAGAAATCAGGTAAACGAAGAACCACTTAGTGGATGTACTACTTCTAAATCGTTGTTTATATGTAATTCTTTTCTTGCAGTTGTTGCGTCCGGGATGGTATTGGTGTGCAAACAGTGCAGCAATTCCCAACAACGTTGGGACCTGCAGTGAATCGTGGAAAGTATACAACCCATAAGACTTTGGAGACCATGTGTAATGCGCGTGCGGGGTCCAAAAAAGGTTGGAAGAGCTGTGCAAACGAATCCAACATTGTTGTAACCTGCAGTGGAGGCGTTTTCATCGGGCGCGCGAATGTTTTGCTCGCGAAAGCGCATGTTGAAACTCGAAAAGAGGGGACAAAATGGTGCGAGTCAAACGGAGCGGGGTAGGGGGCGGGAAGAGAGAAGAGAAAACGCGTATTTTTTCCCCCTTCCCCTTCCCTTCTTCCCCCCTAGCACCTACCCTTGGGGTTACTATTTTTACTCTTCCTAATCTTCCTCCGTCATAACAAAGATGGCGGTTACAACAGTACGAACGTAAACAAGCAACTTTCGCAAAAATACGCCCGCACTGAAGGCTAACATTGTTGCGCTACGCTTCGGCGATCATGGAACAAAAGAAATGTTGGGAGTTGTTGGCTCAAAAGTTTGACTGCGCACCAACACCCAACAACATGTAACAGGGTGTGCAAACGGACGCAACATGCAACAGCCAACAATGTTGCGTCCGTTTGCACCAGGCTTTACCTAACGCCTTGAGACTCATCTCAGGTATATCTGTACTAAAATATGGCTTTGCGTTTCATCGTTGTCGAATCAAAGAAGAGTCTTGGGAGTATTAACTTCATATTCAGTAATACCTATTAATATTACAGGGTTTACACCAGTATAAAAAACACAATTTTTTCATTTGCTTATTGTCTTTGATTTCCTCAGAAGTCAGTCCTTCCAGTCTATCAAAAAGCTTACATAAATATTGCTTATGATACTCGCCTATAATTAATGTTAACTTTTCACCTTCAAAATATATTATTGTCCTCTTAATCTTCCATTGCTTTCCAAAAACCTCTTACAGTTTTTTACCTATATTTCTCCCATTTAAACATAAAATTAACGATCTCAGACCTGGTTTACAGGGGTCCAGCAAAATCAGTTTTGAACGCACAAAAACTTGCACGAATCCACGTCTTGTTTGCACAGGACCCACAGAACTATGCGAATTTTTCACCTGATCAGGATTCGTGTAAGCAGTGCTGCAATCCTGTAACAGATTTAAACGGTTCCGTGCTAACAGGTCGCACAGGTAAAAAATTCGTCCGTTGAAAAATTTGCCCGGAACCTTGTAAACCGTGTCTCAAACTCTTAACAATCTCGAAATCCATCATGGCATGAAATTATGTTCTTAAACGCGTCCACAAATCATAAAAAGACCACCAGAAAGCCGCGATGCATGAGACGCAATAGTAATTTGGATGTGTAAGACTAGTTACGATAAAGCTTGTCTATGTTTCTTTGAGCTAGAGATGGTTTGAGAAGCTAAATCAAACACGAAAAAGGGTTCTCAGTTAAAAATCTGGCTGACATCTGAAATCAGTTCCCCTGTTCAAGGAAAATAGACCAACAGGCATTTCCTTACACCGCGACTTTTTCAATTCAATATTCGTTGTTATTTGTCATTTACAATATACGTTAAAATAGCTGTACATTTATTGTTCAGGGGATGCTTACCAATTACACAAACAACCCGGGTGAAGAATCTAGTGCAAAAAATAAAACTATAAAATTTGACATGGTGGGAGAATGACCCGCTACAATGTATGAAATATCCAAATCAGCGAAACAGATTAAAAAAGAGTAGCAAAATGGCATCGCCTAAAATTCTGAATCTCTTCAAACGGAATGGTGCGAACCATTGGATTTTCCAATCACAATTTCCGGATTTCCCATGTAAGTGATAAGCACCCAAGGACTTTCAAAAATGAGGAGATAAAGTTAAGTTTGCAGATTTCATTGTATAAAAAGAATTTTAAAGAGATGAAAGGCTTAAGAATCTGAATCAAAAGTAGCCTGTGTACAGACTCCCCCTCCCCTCAGTAAACGTCGGAGAAGGGGACCCTTCTCCGATTTTTACTGAGGGGGGGGGGGGGGGGTTATCTACCCTCTTTCCCCCCACGCCGCTCTTCCCAAATCATATTATAAAAAAAATTTTAAAGAGAGGAAAGGCTTAAAAAACTGAATCAAAAGTGGCCCGGGTACAGACCCCCCCCCCCCCCAGTAAACGGGGGGGAAGGGGGCCCTTCCCCGGTTTTTACTGAGGGGGGGGGGGGGGGTCTGTATACGGGCTAAATCGAAAGCCAAATGATTTGCAACGTCTTTTAAATAGCCCAAACAGGCAAATTTCACTTCAAAGTAACCCCTACATCGCCAAACCCAGCATATAAAAAAGAAACGTAGAAAATGTGGAACACCGTTGAGTGCTTGAAATAAGAGAAATTTCTTCACTGTTTCAAAACAAATTATGCCGCGAGGCTATTCAAAACAAAACTACTAAGCAGTTGTTCATTTGGGTGACTTTCATTATGCTTTAGCTCCAATTTTAGAGTAAGTGGAACAAATCTCTGAGTAAAACCATCCAATTACAACTGTACAATAGTAAAGGACACTTTCGACTAGGACATCTGGATTTAGATTAAGAAACCGGATTTCGGATTTTACATTAATACATGAAAACCAAATACTGATTTCAAAGACGAGAACTTCGTGGATTTCCGCTGTTCAAGAGAAAAGTTTTGCAATTCCTAATTTCGGATTTCCTAAAAAACAAATCAGGAATTGGATTTCTTAGTTGAAATCCACCAGCTTGGTGACGGATTTCGTGTTTTATTGCAAAATCCGAAATATCCATTTCAAAACTTAAACTACATCCAAATTTCCCAATCGAATGAACCCCAAATCTAAATCAAATCGCAAGTGGAAATTCAATTTGGAACACAGAAAACAAATAAATTCTCTGGGGCTAAAAGTTATCCTAATTGCCTGTGAAACAATTTTTCCTCTTCTGCCACAATTCACATGGTGCTGAATTTTAGTACTGCAGAAGAAATAGGGCAATCATTCTGTCCGCAAGCGACCACGGACTGGTTTCTAACATTTAAAAATCTCTAGGTCCATTGCCGCGATAAAGACATGGACTCAGCCTGGCGGATCATACTGGCACGGCATTGATAAGCAGATAATTACAAGTCAGGTCATAATTATTTCCCCAATGATATTCTGAGATGCTTGATTAATTCTCTGCCTTCAAGGAGAAGCTTTGAATTCCTTGCTGCCATTTAACTCCATACTGAAAGATTTCCAGACTGGCTTCCTTTAGTTTCACCTGCCAAGACTGATACATTACCAAGGCACTCATACGCATTGTGCTTGGCCGATTACCGCTGATTCACATGGTTATGGGTTTGTCCTTACAGGCGTTTTGACAGAAAGAGCTAATTTTACGGAGAAATTTCGGGTATTCTCGTTTAGAAACTGCACGTACAACTGAAGGTGGAGCCCAGCCTCCGGGATTAACTATGGAAAAAATAAAGAGGAATGCAGGTTTATCACAATTTTATATATGAATCTTTTCTCTCTTCCTTCCGTTTTCTTTGCGCGCACGGTCCGGCCCTACTATCCGAGTAATACTTAATTTCTCCAGTCAAACACTGATACCAAATAAACGTGGGTAGTTTGGATTAACTCCCCATCTATTCAAAACTTGAACTTAAACTTGAACGTATGACTGTGTAGCGCATTTATGAAGGCCTAGAAAAATCCTATCAGCTACCTGCGAGGTAAATCCGGTTTTGCGAGGTGAGTACTTTCACCACCGTGTCATCCTTGCTCAGTTCATAATATTTCTAAAATTGTAAATTTTACGTCGATCTGTAATATCACCTGTGACCAGAAATGCAAGAAAACTCGGAACTTAAAGAGCGTGACTCTCATTAACTTGCAATCCTCGAACATTATAGCAGCAGGTTTGAGATGTGCTCGTTATCACAAAA